CTACTTTCCCGAGCTGCACAAAATGAAAATATATTTGCATATACAGGGTGTTCAGTTTTTCCTGGGCAGGTACCAACTTAATTTTTTTAAATGGAAACCTATATTTTTTATGGCATTATCGAATTCTACGTGAAAAATTAACGTGACTTTGTTTTATGATCCCTATTAAAATATTGATAGTTTTCGAGATAATCGACTTTTCATTGTTTTATATGTATTATATTTTTCCCGACAAAGGAACGGGCGCAAATCCGGTATTTTACATAAAAATGTTATTAAAAAATTGTAGGGTTTACAAAAAGGCATCTAATGAAATCATAAAACACAGAGTGTCGAGATTTTTCAAATTTTAAATTATCAAGTTTCGCACGATTTTTTTGGCCGCTGTATATCGCAGGTCAACTTTTGATACGTTGTTTGAAAGAGCCATCTTCACTCTACAGTTCCTGAAAAAAAAATAATTTCTAGCTGTCATACAATCATAATTATCAACTACTAGAAGTGACGAAACATAAGAAAAAAATAATGAAAAGTCGGTTATCTCGAAAACTATCAATATTTTAATAGTGATCATAAAACAAAGTCCCGTTAATTTTTCACGTAGAATTCGATAATGCCATAAAAAATATAGATTTCCATTTAAAAAAATTAAGTTGGTACCTGCCCAGGAAAAACTGAACACCCTGTATATGCAAATATATTTTCATTTTGTGCAGCTCGGGAAAGTAGGCAACTCTGTATAAAAAAAAAATTAAGTTATATCTTTTATTAACCTAGATATTGGACTTACGCGCACTAGGTGGACACGGTGTATATTATAAAAATATTCAAATAAAATTTCAGACATTATCCACCCTTTCACTGGCACAACAGAAATATCTGATAACTAAATACATTCACTTAAATTATACCAAGTATTTATAAAATATAGCCAATTAATAGATAGCATAATTACTTTTTTGTTTTTCGTGTTTCATTAAGATTCCTGGAAATAATAAATGATAACGTATTAAAAAAAATTTATATATAGTATTTATATAATTTGTTATATTGTAACAGAAAATAATATCTATATATTTGATAAACTTCATCACGATATTCATACTTAATAGGCCCATTCAGTGATATATAATTTTAAACTTTGTATTTCATTTTCTGATAGTATTTAACCACCTAAATAGATCCTAAAAAAATTAGGTCAATAGGATTAATAATAAGTGATATATTTAATTCGGAATTTGTAAGACCCTTAAAAAAATGACGTCACGATACCGGCCACTCGGCGATCAAGTCGGGAGCAGTCGAAGAGTTATTTGCTAGACAATTAATTGAGTTCAATGTACGGTTGCAGCAGTATTGTTTGTTATTGTTAGTTAATTTTTTGTTTAAATCTGTATTTGTGGATAAGTGAAAAATATGTGTTCATTTCAATTTTTGTACAAAGGTATCCAACATACTAGACTCTGTACTTGTGGATGTATGCGACGACGTGTATGTGCCAGTAGTACTTCGACTATTATTTGAAGACTCATTGGATGACCCATTGTGGCTTACTTTTAATTTCTTTGAAAACTTGGTTCTTTTTCGGGGGAGCTTTTCAAAATTATTTTCATTGCATAGGCGTGGAAAAGAACACTGAATGGATTTAGATCGGACATACGGTTTGATATTAACTTGAATACATTTTTCGTGATGTATATTTTCCGTCGTGTAAGAATCTCCTAATATATCCTCAATGATGCTCTTATTTTGTTTTTTTAAAATCACTGATTGGACTTTAACTACCTCTGTCGACTTTCTGTTTTTCTGACACTCAAATATATGAGGAATAACCCCTGGTTTTAGTTTTATTACACTTCCTTTCATTGTTTTATAATACATATAATTCTCCATATCTTCCTTTAGCTAAAATTTTAAATATACCTATGCTATATAATTTGCAAAACCAAAGAAATATCTAACTTACATTAAAATGATCTTCACAGCAATGCTTTGACCCCTTACTGCAAACAAATTCTTTCCTCCGCATAGCTTTCTGCCACAAAATCCTACTATTTTCATTTTTCGGTAAAGAAATAAATATTTTATTCGGAGTCGATACTGAGGTACTTTTGCAGCCTGGAACTATACAATATTTGTATAATCCTCGGTTTCGACCCATTTGGACACAAACGAAACTGCCAAGCGAACCACACTCGATGCGTATTAATACAGAATGGGATGGGGAGCTAGCGCGGAGCGCGAGCGGGCGGTTAGTGATCTGCCAGTCGCCCGTACCGGTATTATGACGTCAGGCAATGGTTCCTCAACGTTTTGCCGCGCTCTGTTTTCATTAATTTATTTCACACATTTCACGTTGAAACAAAAAATAGATTTTTTATACACTAATTAAAGGAATATGTAAAAAAATTCATCTAAATGGGCCTGGATATAATTGATGTCTCTGATAGTCTGATAGATTAGTCTATTAAACGAACGATTATAGCACAGCAAATAAAATTGTTTTATTTGCTGTGATTATAGTGTGTCATGTCAGCGGAATATGTTGCTTAAGACACGCAATAAAACACTCTTATTTAGTTACTCATATGGTTATAACCTACAGTGGGAAATTTACACCATTGCATTTGCATTTTAATTACAGTGTTGATAATTTCAGATTGGTAGAAATAAGGTGTATTATTTGACTTCAAAATTACATTTTTTTATCACATTAATGTTGTAGTTGCTAAATGAACTAAATGCTTTGGATTCGCAGGGGGCATCCATTGAATAAAAAAATGAATGGCGTTCCATTACAAAAATTTATAGATGTACCACATTTCTTTGCAGTGTAGGTATAGGTACATCATTAATTTTGAGATGTCTTTTTTTTAGTTTCTTCTAATATTCTAATTTTTTTTTTCGGGCCAAAGGTGAGGCTGTGCTAGAAAAATATACCACTAAATGGCCATCCTGTAGTGAATAATCTTAAGAGTGTAGAATCCTCAAAAGTGAATATTTCGATTAATAATTAAATTCTGAATTAAATTCTAGATATTATTTCCACACATTATAAAACGGTGAACAAAAACATATAAATTAATAACAAACAAATCTATTCTTATAAATATTCAAAACTAATATGCCGTTGCTAACAGATTAAAAACTGTAAATGAAAAATATTTTCGGTCTGAATTCAGTTGAATCTACTTTACTTTAATGAAACTATTTTTTGCATTGTTTCATAAAACGTGTAATTTCGAAAAAAAAAACATTTGAATCTATTCATAAAATAAATTTACATACCTACTTTAAATTTCATTACTCGACAAAATTTCTCTAAGTACAATAAAGTCAATAATAGTATGTTTATTTTAGTCGTAGATACATACTTCCTACACAGATGCATGTGTGTCGACCACGTCCTTTTCTACCATTCATAGAGCACGTGTTCAAATACAAGTACATCCACAACAATGTAAATTTCAAATAATAACGTTTTAGATAAATATTCACTTCACCCATTTGATTAAAATCTCCAGTCAAGTGAGTCAAAGGTATTTCAATACCTAGTTAAATTTCAAATAAAGTAATTTCTTAAAATCTCTCAGTAAATATGTAATTTATAAGGCTGGCGTTTTATAGACAAGAAATCGCACTTTTAGTAAGATAATGATAGACCAAATAAAGTCCGTACGGTGTTTGTTGAGTCACTTTCTTGGAATTAACCGCATTCGACACCCGAGGAGAAAGATATTGGCGGCGTAGCATTCACCGTAGCAACTTACAGTGCATACTGTGTTTTGCAGTTACGAAGGCGCGTTTCTTCGTAAATGTTCTTATTAAAATAAATCAATGGAGGTGAAACATAAAAGAAAGGAATTTAATTCCCAGTCGAAGAGTATCGTGTTTAACATGTATAATTATTTTAAGACAATTTTTCCAAATGAAAATAAGATACAATTAAAAACCGTATTGTAGCTGCTACAGGAATACCTTTAGCCACTATATGGAAATCTCCAGTAAAACTCTCGAGTTACAAGCTCTAAATAATGGTAATGGTGAAGTAAAATTTAGTTCTACTAAAAAATGCAAGAGAATATGTACAAAAACCAATATATCAGAATGATAGGTTACTTAAATACATCTTTCTTTGTTTATTCCTTTTTTGCACCAGTGTGTTATAATTGTATTATTTTCTAGTTTATTTATGATTTTTACTCTACTGTAGGTACTATAAAAGAAATAATATGTATTTACCTTATACAAGGTGACTTTTTTCAGCGTCAAAGTCCAATAGCTCGGTTATGGTGGCACCAGGAAAAAAATATTTTAGACAAAAGTTGCTCCCAAACAATTTCTCCACATTTTAAAATTAGTTTGATTTATACAGGATGTCCCACTTCCCCTGAGCACCAATCAACTTTGTTTTTTTAAATACAACACCCTATATATTTTTGCATTTTTTAATTACTCGATGAATTTTAATGTCACTGTGATCAATAATTATGGTGTCTATTATACACCGTTTTTATGTTAATTGATGATTTCTTAAAAAAATGACGTTTGCAGCGACTAGGAAATCTCAAAAACTAAAAATCGTAGATAAACGAAATCTTTACCATTGTTCTAAGCATGAACAGACCTATCGAACTAATTAGCCTGCTTTAATATCGGCCCAAGGATGTGTCAATTACAAGCGCCTAAATTTCTGAATTTTCAGTCACAGATAACTTGATTTTTTCAAATGGAACCATGTACTAGATTTTGTCCAGGTGGATTCAAAATGTAATTTCCTTCGATTTTGTTAAGGTATGTTAGGGTCTAACATAATAACTAACGGTTTTGAAGATAGTCACATTTTTTCTGAATTTTTATAATTGTGGCGCTCAGGGGAACTGGGACATCCTTTATAATTCAAACTAATTAAAATGTGGAGAACTTGACTGGGAGCAATTTTTGTCTAAAATATTTTTTCCTGGTGCTACCATAACCGAGCTATTGGACTTTGACTCTGAAAAAAGCCGCCCTGTATATGTATATTTTAATATTCTGAAAATAAAATGAAAAATTTTAAGGCACGCTCCTGCCGCGGTAAATTGTTACAGTAGTTCCGATAACAGAAATTTATTGGCTTATATTCATTTCTTGGAATTCTATCTCAACAAATGGAAGTGTCGAAGCGCTAGACTAGAGCAACTTCCTTTAATTTTCGCATTGAAATATCACGGAGAACATGTAAACATCAGTTTACTCCAGCAAAGGAGGAGGGTCAATAAGGCCGGTTTTCGGCCCTATCAGAAATTGATCCCAAACATGTGGAATATGTTTTTTGAACCTAAAGCAACAATATTAAATCGATTCTAGACAAAACGGATTAAACCTCTCCACTCAAAACACTCAAAAACTCTTAATAACGTAATAAAACCATGTTTCTTACATCTGATGCACAGAATCATATAAATAACATTTTTAGTGTACAAATTAAGTAAAATACATATACGTGCTTATAGCCATAAAAAAAACTTTTATCTATGTCCCCTCCACCCTTTTCCCCCTTTTACGCAACCCCTGAAAGATGATTTCACAAAAACATTTATCTGTCAATTTTATATAAAGAATATTGAAATGTTTCTCCTTCCATTCGAGCGTCCATCCCGTACCTATATATTTTTCTTCATTGTACCTCTATCTTGTTTCTTTAACTTTTATAAGCAGCCATAAAAATAGGGTTTAAGTAAATATTATTATTTATTTAATATTTTTTGTTATAGTTTGATGTGAGTCCCCTTGCCTCTCACTAGTTGGGGTGAAGATTTAAAATGAGTTCCCTTGCCTCTCACTGATTAGGTGCTGGTTTACAGTGAGTCCCTTTGGCTGTCACTGATTGGGGTGCTGGGTGGTTTACTAAATCCAGTAGAATATTATTCTTTCTAGACCTTTAAATAAATGTTTTTACATGATGTAGAATTTCTTTTATATTCAATTCTTTACTTAAGTGTCCTTTAGAGGTTATGCAGTTGAGTGGGATTAGAGGGGGAAAAGACTCAAAGTTTACTTTTATGATTATAAACAAGTGTTTTAACTTAAATTGTACCCGAAAAATATTATTTATATGATTCTGTACATCAGATGTAAGAAAAATGGTGTTATTACATTTTGAAGCATTTTTTAATGTTCGAGTTCGGGGATTGTATCGGTTTTGCCTAGAATCGATTTAATATTGTTCCTGAAGGTTTAAAAAACATATTCCATATGATTAGGATGGATTTCTGATAGGGCCGAAATTCGGCCTTATTGACCCTCCTCCTTTGTAATTCTCTCAATGATTGTGATTAATCTATGTATTAATATTTTCCTAAAAGCATTCTGCGGAGTATAATTATGTTTATAGTATTATACCGTAGGTACTCGATTTTCTGTATATTCAACAGGTGTGTAAAGTTCAGGAAAATCAAGATAAACATATACGAGGTAAAAATATGTTTTTTTGCCTTATTTTGAATGTATTGTCAGTCGTGTTATACCCTGAAGAAAAATTATATAACTGGTACAGTGAAGAGATATTGTTTCTAACTTGCTTAGATGTTTCAAAACGCTGAACAAAAAATTGCGCATATAAACGTCTCCCTTAAGGAACACAAATGATCATTGATAAGTCACCAGTGGCTACAATTGTACCTATAGTGCAGACTATTTATTATTGTAGTTGAAAGCTCTTGTGCATAAGGGAATTTGGTGAATTTATGGTTTTATCAAACTGGTTGTGTTGTGTCTTCAAACTATTTTAATTAATTTTGTTAAAAATATGATAGTTTGACATGGGCCTAATTAAAGCTTTTTATTAATAGTTCATTGTGTTCCAATTAAATGAAAAATTGATTGGTTGAAAAAGTAGGTATTTTGCGAAAAAATATTGTAATATAAGTATGGTTGCTTTGTCTATAGTCTTAGTTATACTAGCAATCTAGGGGTCCATGGTCAGTCGCATGGCATGTAGGTGTCGTCATATGGAATGGGATTGTATCGGTTTTGCCTAGAATCGATTTAATATTGTTCCTGAAGGTTTAAAAAACATATTCCATATGATTAGGATGGATTTCTGATAGGGCCGAAATTCGG